GGGAGCCCACACTAAGCAAAAATTTACTTTAATACATTAAAAAACAATCACTTGTAAAATGTTGGTTTAATTACCGCAATTGTTAGGGAAAAGAAAACAAGTTTCAACTAATTGAAAATTTTTTTAACGACTTGGACAAAGCTTCCGGGAGCGGGAAAAGTTGGCCCCCAGTAAAAAAATTTTGCATTACTTTTCTCCCTATTTTCAGTTTAAATAAAAAAGAAAAGTGTAAAAAATGTCAGTGTATACCCCCTGAGAGACCATCTCTCGGTATACATACACTGTGTGAGGTATTATAAAAGAAAGGGGGGAGCTTTAAACAATTTGATCCAAAGGGGAGAACAGTTCCAATTCCACGGACCAAAAAACCCCCCTTTCCCGGCAAACAAGGCCCCCCTCCTTGAATGGAGGAATCCGGGGAACCCAAAGGGGGCTTAGAGGGCGAGAAAAAGCGCTAATCTCAGGGGGAAAAAATTGCGATTCCCGGATACTTTGGGGGTTGTACCCCTTGAAAAAGCCCCTATTGGAAAAAGCAGTGGGGTGAAACCCCAAAAAAATGGGTGCAGCGGCAAGGGGGGTGGCAAGGGTGGGGGGTTTTTGGTTGATGGGTGGGGGGCTTTTTGGGGGGAGGCTAAAAGGTTTATGGTGTTGGGGTGGGCGCCCCCAGTTGGTGGTGGTTACTGTGGTATATATATAAAAATATATAAAAAAATATATTTTATATTTATATATATATAATTTTATATTATAATATATATATATAAATATATATAAATATATATATATATAAAAAAATATATATATTTATTTATATATAAATATATTATTTTATATAAATATTTTTTATAAAAAATAATTTTAAAGTATTACAAATTTTCATACAACTTTTATTTATATTTATAAAATATATATATATAAATATAAAATATATAAATATATATATAAAATTTTATATATAAATTTTATATATAATATTTTATTCAATTTGAAATTTGTTCACTTGTAAAGGGATAAAACTCTCAGTTAACTTCAGATTTTGTCTGACCCTTTAAACCCGCAGTCTTTTATTTCTTTCCCTTTATCAATAAAAAATTGGTTGTTTGTCTTTCAAAAAGGGCTTAAAGGGGGCCCGTTTCTTCCCCAAATTCCCTATTGGCTGATAGATATTTCATTATTTAACTCTGGAGTCCCCTTTTTTTGCCCCTTTTTTTGCAAATTTCTTTTTTTTTAAACCCTGTTTTTTTAAAAAGCCCAAATGCCGCCCCTATGAAACATCTTGTGCCCCAGGTGCCTTGATTTTGGGGACTTGTAAGTTTACGTAAAATTTTGGTGCCAATTTCTGAAAGGGAAAAAGGTGAACGCATGTACTTTTAAAAACCCCAGGTTTCACACCTAACATAAACCCTTTTGCTCCAGGTGCCTTTTTTTTAGGCTTTCGTGAGCTTAGAAAATTCACTGCCGCTTCGTGAAGGAAAAAAAGTTGTGAAAGTCAGTTTTTCAAAAACTCATAATGCGGTTTTCCCCAGGGACCCCCTTGTGGTGTACTTTTAAATTTTCTTTCCCGGCCCCCCGCAGAATTTTTGGGGAAACACGAATCGCTTTTGACAAAGATTGCAAAAAATCAAAAGAAATGGTACGACTCAAACCCCGGGGAACCCTAATTTTTTGCGATTGTGTGTGTCATGATGGCCCGCTGTGGGGGGACTCTTTTAGCTTACTGAAAGATGATACTGTGAAGAAGGGGTTTAAAATTCCAGCTGTTCTCCCGCCAATCCTACTGTAAAACTGCTTGTCCCTACTACCCGCATTTCTTTAGGGTTTGGGGAGCTCTGTTTTTTTAAAGGTTCAAAAAGACCCCCTCCCCCGTTATTGGCAACAACGAAAAAAAATGCGTAACCCAAATTTCCCCCAAAATTTAGCCCTTCGAAACTTGTGGGGCTTTTATAATTTTACTCAGAACCCAAAATATTTTCCCCTTTTAATTTTTTGCGTTTTTTTAAACTTTTTTGAGTATTTGAATTATCATATTATCCGTTAAAAAAAGGCCAAGATCATATTGATGTATTACAAACCCTAATAAAAAAGACCGGGTTTTTTGCAAAGGTTTTATTCCCAAAAAAAGACGCTTTTTAAAAACAAAAACATGAAGTTTTAAAGTTAAACAATCACAAACCCATGCCAGTTTGCCTGATTACCTCACATACGGAATTAGTCGGTTAAATCAACGATACACCCCTTCCTTCACGGGCGAGACGTTGCGGTTAACGAAGGCAATCACTGGATCTAAGTGGCATGTACTCAGTGGAATGATAAATTAGACAACTGTGCAACTCTTGGGTATCTTTATTGAGGAAACGTTTCGCCACACAGTGGCTTCATCAGTCCATACAAAGGAGAATCTTGAAGAACAGGAGGAGAATGAGGTAATCAGTCCCTCAACCTTGAGTCGATGTGGTCAGTCCATCAATCTTGAATAGAATACGGCATACGTGCTGAGAAGGAGCTTATAAACCGTTGGCGGGAGAGGTGCAGAAGTCATAGGTCGTGTAACATTTGTTCAATGTTGAAGTAGGTCGTGCCCAAGAATTAGGCAAGCGAAGAATTCCCAAGTATTAAGATCCCAAGAAGTTGCAGTGTCTGACAGGTTTGTAGATGAATGGTTCAGAGAACCGACATGTTGATAAATTAGACAACTGTGCAACTCTTGGGTATCTTTGATGAGAGTAAGACACATGTGCAACATCTGGGTATCTTTATTGTAGACGTTTCGCCATCCAGTGGCTTTATCAATACAAATTCTAGGACATAACTTGAAGACAGTAGAACTATGTACAGAAGATGAGGTAATCAGTCCCTCAAACTAGGAGTAGGTGCGAACAGCACCATAGTCGTGGTGCTGTTCGCACCTACTCCTAGTTTGAGGGACTGATTACCTCATCTTCTGTACATAGTTCTACTGTCTTCAAGTTATGTCCTAGAATTTGTATTGATAAAGCCACTGGATGGCGAAACGTCTACAATAAAGATACCCAGATGTTGCACATGTGTCTTACTCTCATCTTGTCGGTATTATATACCATTTCGTACACATCTTGGGTATCTTTATTGAGGAAACGTTTCGCCACACAGTGGCTTCATCAGTCCATACAAAGGAGAATCTTCTCAGCACGTATGCCGTATTCTATTCAAGATTGATGGACTGACCACATCGACTCAAGGTTGAGGGACTGATTACCTCATTCTCCTCCTGTTCTTCAAGATTCTCCTTTGTATGGACTGATGAAGCCACTGTGTGGCGAAACGTTTCCTCAATAAAGATACCCAAGAGTTGCACATTTGTCTAATTTATCAACATGTCGGTTCTCTGAACCATTCATCTACAAACTCAGTGGAATGCACTGACAGAGGTAGTACAAGTAAGTGCTGCAACCAGTGGAAACTGAAACAGAATACAGAAAACGGGACGCCACGAGGAACATAACTCTGCCCCAGGAACTACAACTACATAATATTAAATTGCCAATAGGTAAGAGTAAATAGGACACAGTAAATGCTGAAGGCCACTACAGATTGTCGTAGTGTGTTGTAGTTCCGGAGGTCGCTGGGAGACACAAGAAATCTTGGCACAAGATACCTTGTGTAACAATGGGAACCTGGCTGGCCACGGTGAGTGCCACAACCCACCCACCGAATAGTGATGATTCCAGAGAAAGCTGGTTGTCAGAATACTGCAGAGGTATTCATGGTCTATTTTTTACCCTCGACTTCCACTGACTTCTTTTCTTCTTCTTCTTCTTTTCTTTTTTCTTTTCTTCTTCTTCTTCTTCTTCTTCTTCTTCTTCTTCTTCTTCTTCTTCTTCTTCTTCTTCTTCTTCTTCTTATTATTATTATTATTTTATTATTATTATTATTATTATTATTATCTTTTCTTCATTTTCCTCTTCTTCTTCTTCTTCTTCTTTCTTCTTCTTCTTCTTTCTTCTTCTTCTTCTTCTTCTTCTTCTTCTTCTTCTTCTTCTTCTTCTTCTTCTTCTTCTTCTTCTTCTTCTTATAATAAAAAAATAATAATAATAATAATAATAATAATAATTATTATTATTATTATTATTATTATTATTATTATAGTATTAGTATTATTAGTATTATATTTACATTATTATTTTCTTCACTTTCTTCTTCGGCGAATCTTATCTAACTTAACCTCTTCTTCTCATTAATATAATACTAATACTACTAATAATAATAATTAACAAAGAAGAAACACTTAGGAAATCCACATAAAGAGAAACAAGAGGAAGAAGAGGATATAAGAGATTGAATGGAATCCCTGATACAGGCACTTGAAACTCGGGGATTGAGTTCGGACCCCCAGAAGAGAATTGGAACGGGCGATCTCACAGGAATAATAAGAGAGAAAGAGAGAGAGAGAGAGAGAGAGAGAGAGAGAGAGAGAGAGAGAGAGAGAGAAAGGGCTCCAGCTTCACCCTTTTCCCTATTTGTATGTCTCGTAACAATTAAAAGGTTTCCAAGTGAGCTGATGTAGGTAACAGCTCTTAGCTTGTCAATAATGTTAATTACCTTAAACCTGACCTTGTTGAACCTCGTGTAGAGGAAAAAGAAGAAAGAGGGAGGTGGGAATGCGAAGGAAAAATAACTAGAGACAGGAAATTATTCTATGATGAGTTTCCTGAGTCTGAATAAAATGAGAAATTTTGTATTATATATTGTCGAAGAAAACTTTTGCTTACTCTGCAGAGTGAATTTAAAAGACACGTGCAACAATAGAGAGAGGTCTCTCTCTCTCTCTCTCTCTCTCTCTCTCTCTCTCTCTCTCTCTCTCTCTCTCTCTCTCTCTCTCTCTCTCTCTCTCTCTCTCTCTCTCTCTCCTCTCTCTCTTTCCCTCTCCTCTCTCTCTCTCTCTCTCCTCTCTCTCTCTCTCTCTCTCTCTCTCTCTCTCTCCTCCTCTCTCTCTCTCTCTCTCTCTCTCTCTCTTAGCTTACCGTGTTTTCAATGCCTGTAGCTTTCTGTTGAGTTTTCCTGGTGATGTACTGGTCAATATAGAGTGTCAGACGCACCATCAGCTGTATCATCATCGCTACGAACAAGTTGAGGTGCATTCTTGTCCTGTTGTTGCGTAGAGACCTGTCGAAGAAGCAGGGAGACGTGGTGATGAGTGGGGGTGGTAGTGGTGAGTGGGGGTGTGAGTGGTGAGTGGGGGTGGTGGTAGTGAGTGGGGGTGGTAGTGGTGAGTGGGGTGGTAGTGGTGGTGTGATTGTGATGGCGGTGGTGGGTGGTGGTGATATTTTTCTCCTCTCTAATTCTGGTGTTGTACATGTTAAGGGTTAATTAACAGAGCAAGGCTCGAACTCCGAGGTATAATCTACAGTAAGTTGCGTCAGTTCATCGCCAACCTCACCTTATTTCAAGGCTGTCCCCAGTCAATACCTTTATTACGGACATTTTATAATTGCAACTTTATTGAAAATTAAAGCACACACACACACACACACACACACACACACACACACACACACACACACACATCTCCCCGTGGGTCCTTAGAGAGGGAGCAGATATGCTGTGTGTCCCATTAACCACAATTTTCAACACATCCCTTGAAACTGGGCAACTACCTGAGGTATGGAAGACGGCAAATGTAGTTCCCATTTTTAAAAAAGGAGACAGAAAAGAGGCGCTAAACTACAGACCAGTGTCACTGACGTGTATAGTATGCAAAGTCATGGAGAAGATTATCAGGAGGAGAGCGGTGGAGCACCTGGAAAGGAACAAAAGTATAAATGACAACCAGCACGGTTTCATGGAAGGCAAATCCTGTGTCACAAACCTTCTGGAGTTTTATGATAAAGTAACAGAAGTAAGAGACGAAAGAGAGGGGTGGGTTGATTGCATCTTCTTGGACTACAAGAAGGCCTTCGACACAGTTCCTCACAAGAGATTAGTGCAGAAACTAGAGAATCAGGCGCGTATAACGGGAAGGGCACGTCAATGGATCAGAGAACAGCTGACAGGGAGGCAACAACGAGTCATGGTACGTGATGAGGTATCACAGTGGGCACCTGTGACGAGCGGGGTCCCACAGCTGTCGGTCCTAGAAGCAGTGCTATTTTTAGTATATGTGAATGACATGATGGAAGGGATAGACTCAGAGGTGTCCCTGTTTGCAGACATGTGAATTAAGAGGAAAAAAAATCAGATGAGGATCAGGGGGCCTTCAAAAAACCTGGAGAGGGTGGACACTGTCCAGCAACTGGGTTCTCGAACCACCCTGCCAAAAGCAAATCAAATATCGGAGAAGGGGAAAAAAAGGCCACAAAAAAGTGTAGGAAAAAATGGCCCCAAAGCTGCAAAAACCCGCTCAAGGAGAAAATCTTGGGGTGGGGATAACACCGAACACGTCACTGGGGAAACCACATCAAACCAAAAACGCTGCGCTATGGGGGGCCCGGCAAACCGAGACAAGCTTCCGAATCTAAGTAAGGAAATTTTTAAGTCACTGTAAACCGTACGCAGGCCCTTTTGCGCCCACTTTCGAAACCCCTACCAGGCAAGCAAGTAAGAAATTAGAGAAAGGGGGAAAGTTTTTCGACAAGGGGTATTCAGACTAAGGGGAATGTCCCATGAAGAAAGGTTTAGGGGAAAAACCCCTGACACACTGGGGACAGGGGGGAAGGGGGGACAGAAATGACTACAAAATAAAAACGTGGAAAAGACAAGGGGACAGAGACAAATGTTCCAAGAGGGACACAGTAACAAGGGGACACAGTTGGAAGCTGAAGACACAGATGAATCACGGGGATGTAGGAAGTATTTCTTCAGCCACAGAGTAGTCAGTAAGTGGAATAGTTTGGGAAGCGATGTAGTGGAGGCAGGATCCATACATAGCTTTAAGCAGAGGTATGATAAAGCTCACGGCTCAGGGAGAGTGACCTAGTAGCGATCAGTGAAGAGGCGGGCTAGGAGCTCGGACTCGACCCCCGCAACCTCAACTAGGTGAGTACAACTAGGTGAGTACCACACACACATATATATATATATGTATATATTATAATATATATATATATATATATATATATATATATATATATAATATATATATATATATATATATATATATATATATATATATATATATATATATGTCGTTCCGAATAACCAGAACTTGCGATCTTGGCTTAAATAGCAACGTTCATCTTGCCATATAGGACAAGTGAAAATTTGTGTATGCAATAATTTCGCCAAAATCATTCTGAACCTAACGAAAAAAATATATTTCACCGTGTTTGTTTAGCATTAAATTACTGTAAACAAATGTAAAATATATTTAGTTGGGTTAGGCTAAAATAAATTGTTCTTGTTATAATAAGGTTATGTAAGTTTTCTAAGTTCCTTTTGGTGAAAAATTATAAATTTTTACATCAACATTAATGAAAAAAATATATCTTTAAACGTATAAGAGAAATTTTTAGAAAGGACTTAATTTTAAATGAGTTATTGCTAATTGACCAGTTTTACATATTCGGCACGACATATATATATATATATATATATATATATATATATATATATATATATATATATATATATATATATATATATATATATATATATATATATATATATATATATATATATATATATGTATGTATATTGACTTGGATAATTTACTTCTCTATAAAATATCCAGTTGATACGGCAGTATTATCCAGACGCTGGTCTTTTACGTACTGAATGATCACTGATGGAATGATGTAATTGAGAACGATTTATTTTAATTATTATCATTGAGAAGCTATTAATACGTGAGTAATGCAGGGTCTGGGGAATTGGAGGCGAACAGGTTTTATCCGATGAAGAGGAGGGTGGCTCTAGTATCTTGGTACCCCCCAGTTGAAGTGTGAGGAGGGTACAGCTTCAGTAAGAGTGCAAATGGCTGCCCGTCGTGCGGTATATTAGCTGGGTATTAGCAAAACTGAACCAAGTGAGGGATCTGGAAAACAGTGATCATGTAGCTGGAGTTTACTTGCAGAGGGCTTTGGGGGTCAACGTCCCCGCGGCTCGGTCTGAGACCAGGCCTCATGGTGGATCAGGGTCTGATCAACCAGGCTGTTACTGCTGGCCGCACACAAACTGACGTACGAACCACAGTACTTAGGGTTGAACTTTGAATATAGTGCCACCATAGTGAGTTGTGTAGAGTTCCAATGATTGCAGTTTTGCCTCTTTGTCCGTAGATATTTATTAATCTAGATCTTATAACAGTACTGGCACGCTGGGGAATGAGAACCAATCAGGTCTGAGCCAGAGAAGGTTAAGGCCGCCTCCCATTCCTCAGATCAAGAGCTCATCATCAGCATTACACAGAGATGTTGATACTGGCTTGATTATGTTTTAAATTAGCTAGGAAGTAGATGGATCAGGATGAAAAACTGGCGCAGGCAGACTCCGCACACAGCTACACGTTCAGGTATGATACGACCCAAGAAACTAAGAACCAAAAAAGAGAGTGAAATCGGATCCATGGTGCGAACCCCTCAACCACAATTAGGCACGCACGTAACGAAGGTAATGGTGTTTTTTCAGTCAGGGGAAAAATGTCTTGTGACACGAGTCTCGGCCACATGAGGTGCCACTTAATGGTGCCACTTAGCGGCGACACTTAGCGGTGCCTCTGGGCCAATTAAAGGGTCCAGACAAAGAAGTTATCCTTGGCTTACCAAGAGCGAAACACACACACACGCACACACACACACACACACACACACACACACACACGCACACACACACACACACACACACACACACACACACACACACACACACACACACACACACAGTACAAACAACCGAGGAAGAATTGAAGAGGCTTCTGAGTGAGCTAGATACCTCAAAGGCAATGGGGCCAGATAACATCTCTCCATGGGTCCTGAGAGAGGGAGCAGAGGCACTATGTGTACCCCTAGCAACAATATTCAATACATCTATCGAAACAGGGAGATTGCCTGAGGCATGGAAGACAGCAAATGTAGTCCCAATCTTTAAAAAAGGAGACAGACATGAAGCACTAAACTACAGACCAGTGTCACTGACATGTATAGTATGCAAAGTCATGGAGAAGATTGTCAGGAGAAGAGTGGTGGAACACCTAGAAAGGAATGATCTCATCAACAGCAGCCAACATGGTTTCAGAGACGGGAAATCCTGTGTCACAAACCTACTGGAGTTCTATGACAAGGTGACAGCAGCAAGACAAGAAAGAGAGGGGTGGGTGGATTGCATCTTCTTGGACTGCAAGAAGGTGTTTGACACAGTACCACACAAGAGATTAGTGCAAAAACTGGAGGACCAAGCAGGGATAACAGGGAAGGCACTACAATGGATCAAGGAATACTTGTCAGGAAGACAGCAGCGAGTAATGGTACGTGGCGAGGTGTCAGAGTGGGCACCTGTGACCAGCAGGGTCCCACAGGGGTCAGTCCTAGGACCAGTGCTGTTTCTGGTATTTGTGAACGACATGACGGAAGGAATAAACTCCGAGGTGTCCCTGTTTGCAGATGACGTGAAGTTGATGAGAAGAATTCATTCGATCGAAGACCAGGCAGAACTACAAAGGGATCTGGACAGGCTGCAGACCTGGTCCAGCAATTGGCTCCTGGAGTTCAATCCCACCAAGTGCAAAGTCATGAAGATTGGGGAAGGGCAAAGAAGACCGCAGACGGAGTACAGTCTAGGGGGCCAGAGACTACATACCTCACTCAAGGAAAAAGATCTTGGGGTGAGTATAACACCAGGCACATCTCCTGAAGCGCACATCAACGAAATAACTGCTGCAGCATATGGGCGCCTAGCAAACCTCAGAACAGCATTCCGACATCTTAATAAGGAATCATTCAGGACCCTGTACACCGTGTACGTTAGGCCCATATTGGAGTATGCGGCACCAGTTTGGAACCCACACCTAGCCAAGCACGTAAAGAAACTAGAGAAAGTGCAAAAGTTTGCAACAAGACTAGTCCCAGAGCTAAGAGGTATGTCCTACGAGGAGAGGTTAAGGGAAATCAACCTGACGACACTGGAGGACAGGAGAGATAGGGGGGACATGATAACGACATACAAAATACTGA